TCTTTCTTTGCCCGTCTCCCTATTTCACTTTAGAGGACCCAGTGATTACCTTGCATCCTTTGGATCATCCAGGGTGATCTTTCTACTGTTTGAAACCTTGATTTCCTTTTGCCATGCAATCTAACATAGTCACTGGATCTAGGGATTAGAAGGAGGCATATCCTTGTAGGAAGATGTGTGGGGATGACTCTACTCACCACGTGTGCATACAGCATTATAATTAGGCTTTGCCTCGCCACATCTTCGATGAAGTTAAAGAATGAGACAACAAAGATGATAGAAACGGGCATGGACCAGTGGACCATTCAAGGCTTAGGGAGGGAAAAGTACTTTAGTTTGAATTTTTAGTGTTCCAAGTGTTGATCAAATTTTATGGCCTGACAGCACTGTATGTGACACTAATGAAAACACTAGCAGGCACATACAGTTTTAATAGGAAGCTTTGCAAACTGATTCTGTCATTTGCAATCCAGGCATTCTGTCTCAGGGAAGCTAACACATCCATGCCATTGAGGATTCTTATGATGCCCTGATGGACAAAGGCTCAGCAGCTCCCTTCCTCGGCCCATATAAGATGAAATCTGCCAAGATCTCAGAATTCCCCTTTTTTCTGTCAGATAAAATATCACTTAGTTTGCTTATATACCCTCTCTCTTGGGCCATTGCCATCACTGAGTTGTTCTTTCTAGAGGTTTCACTCTAGAATTCATCTTTAGATGGGCAGAAATCCTTGATTTTTTGTTTGTTTTCCTTGTATTTGAAATCATGTCTTTTACAATGACTTTAATGTAAGAAAACTTCAAGCATTCAGTATTTCCAGTTTAACTTTCACAGAGAAAATTACTTGTCTTTTCCCATGGGGCATTTCCTTCATTGGGCACTTCTTTTGACCTCTCTCTGGCTGTAGGGATCACATACTTTTTAATAACCTCGTTCCACCAATGCCCCAGGGCATTGTACATTTAGATTCCCTCCAGACACTTGTTCTCACCTTTATCAGGGAGATCTATTATTTTTCCCAGAATCTGCCTTGAGCATTAACTGGTGGGTGATCCTTTATATTTTCCCACTCTCCTAGGATTTGCGTGAATTCCTTTCCCATCCTCCAGGCCTCTCACATCTGAGATACTGGCCTTCCCCACCCAGGGACTTCCCCAGGAAATCTTTTTCTTCTTATTCCCTTAAATCCTATCTCTTTGGACTCTTCTGACAGTTTTCACCACCATTCTTAATAAATTTGTTGGGATTTATATTCTTTACTTCCATGAAGAATTACTTCTTCAAAGTCTGGCAGAAGACCAGGCGAATGGAAAGTGCACAATGTACAAAATTTGCCCATGAATGATATTTCCACTTCTACATAGATCCCTTTCCAGGTACAAAGAGTGCAGTTCTGCCTAGAAGTCTGTATTGTATTTCACTCAAGGAACTTCCACAAATGAGGGAAACAACTAAAACCTGGCATCTTTTGAAATCCATCTTCCCTCTTTGTTTTCAGAGGTGAGGGATACTAATTGGCATCCAGTACCAGTAACATACAAATTACTTACAAAAAAACTTACAAATTACTGTAGATTGCGTAAAAACCAATGGGGTGGGGCCAACATGAAGTTTCTAGTGTTAGACATAGCAGGACAACCAGCCTTTGGGAGAAGTGGAGAAAGGTTTGGGGCAAATTATCTCTGTCCTTTTTTGCATTGTGAGTAATGCCGTAGGAAGGAGCAATGCTTTCCTGGTTGGTAACTGGAGGCATTGGGCATTTTTGTGCCTTTATATACTGATTATTTTGCCATTGTAATACTAAATCTATCAAAACATTGTAGGGCCTGGTAAATAGAAGAAATTATATTAGTGGATGATATTATTCTCACTTGGCTTAATTTATAAGTGTACTGGAAGTATTTATAAGTGATTGAAAGAAAGCTTGACTCTTGCTAAGACATGTAATCAAAATCCAAGAAATTGATTCATAGGTAACTTTAAAAAAATCCTTAAATCAGAGGTGCCTCGATTTTCACTTCCAGTAGTTTAATATTAATTTTCTTGGTCCTACTACAACTGCATTAAAGTGAACTTTAGAGTAATAAAATTAGAGAAAAGAAAATAAATGATGGAAGTTTATAAGGAAATAGGGGTTTCTATGCTTCTTGGTTGGAACTCAAATCCTTTATGTTTTCATATAATTTATATTGTTAATTTTGCAAGTGTTGATCTCTCTTAAAGGGATTTGATTTCTTTATGAAAATGAGTGCTCAAATTCTGAAACATTAAAGGCTCATTTTCCAAAAAAAAAGTTCTATAATAAATACTGTTTTAATTTTTAGGAAAATACACTACTAGAAAGAATGATTATTTCATAGGACAAGGAAACTTTAAATTTGGATTCACCATGAAGGAAAAATGTGTTAGCTCTCTGCAATCACTCTCATTGTTGAAGGAAATCATTGGAAAATAGGAAATCGGAAACCCTCAACTTCGGCTCCACTGTCAATTATTTAGTCATAAACCTATTGTTTATTAATTAACTCAACCCAGGTCTCTCAGTGAGCACAGATCTTTCCCCAGTTAGTGACTTAGAAACATATGGGGTATTAATAGGGAGTTGATTAAACGAGTATTTCTTAAGCTGGTCATGACTCTCTGATTTGAGTTTCTCTGGGTTTAAAGTGGATGGCTTAAGTCCCAGCAGGAGTGAATTTCTCAAGTGAAAGAAAGGCATTTATTAGACCGGTTACTAGTGCCTTGTGAATTACTAGTTTACTGCAGGGGGTCTGTAAACCCTTTGCGAGGACCACTGGGACCAGGCCTGAGGTCCCAGCTCCCTGGGACTTTGTTCCCAGCTCTCCTGAAGCTCCTGTCACACAATCAGAACTGTGGCTTATTCCTCAGTCCTGAAATTGCTTTCATCAGACCACCTTGTGGGCCTTTCCCCTTGAAACACTACCTCAGCATGTGATTTCTTTGACATTCAATAGGTGTCTTCAAGAGAAAACTAGGTTGCCTTTAGCATTTGGATTTGAGAATAGGCTTCCTTCTTCTTTGTGTTGATTCCTTACTTATTCCTTCTGTCCATTTCTTTTCCACTTTTTCTGCTTTGTTCCTCACTCAGTCTACTTTCTCTCCATTGCTTTCAGTGTATGCCCTCCTACATTTTTCTTTTATTTCAAAGCATTCATAAAATCATGTACTTCTCTAGGCATTGGAATGAACCCCAGGTGCTCAAATATCACTTAGCCCTACCCCACCCTTGATGGATGAATGGCTTCTATCCCATCCTTGTTTATCTATTTCCTGTTTCAATGCTTTCATAGATGGGGATTTATTATCTCATAAAGCGTCTACTCTTCTTTGGGGAAGTAACATAACTCCTTTCTTTTCCTAGTATTTCTTCCCATGACCTGGTTTCTATTATTTTTTCTGTCTCTGGTGAAAGCCTGTGATGGAACCCATGCCATACTTTCATTCTCTCTTTGTCCCTCATGGACTATTTTGTTTCCACAGGTATGGGTCACTTTATAGGGTGCCAGAAATTTCCTCTTTATTTCCTTCTTTTGCTAGTGCTAAGACACTTCAGAATGCTCATGAACCAAGAAAAGTGAAAGATAAGTTATTTTGGTGCAAGGATTTTTTTCAATTCCATGCATAATTTTTGCATGATACTGAGTTTCCATTAACTTTTTGAAGACCTCTTATGCACATGCATTCACATTTTTTGGTACCAAAATAAACTTCTAATTCCTTTGAATTATACAATTCTCTACATCTCATGTTAACTCTTGCTTTCTTTTTGTTTAAGCTATTTATTTCTTTCTTCTGTTTGTCCAACTAAAGTTAATGTTTCTTTCTGGGAATTTTAATCACTCAGGGTCCTCTAAATACAAAATCCATAAATAAAATTTTCTAGAAAAACTTTTTTTGTGCTCTTCTGGCTACTAATTGATTGATTACTTTCTTCTGGTCTTGAGTGATTCTTTGATGATGGGAATACTTCTTTTGAGTAAAGGGTTGAGCCTTGTATACATTCATCAGACATCTATTTAGTATAAATCTAGCCAAGCCATACACATCTCCAGGAATGCTTTTCCTTCCTTCCTCCATTTGCTCATTCATTCACATAAATATTATTAGTGTCTTTTTAAACAGAGACACAAATATTTTCAGTCCCAGAAGGGTAGTTTTGGGTGGTAATAACTCAAATCTCATTTAAAAATACTGAATATGCTTAATACTTGTACATTAAACTATGGACTCCTGAAAATAGTGACAGTTTTTGTTCCTGTTTGCAGCTTCCAGGATTTAATGTTGTCACTGACACCAATAAGCAATTGTTGAATATGAATGGCTGAAATAATAGGCCTCAAAATGTGCTTGATTGAATAGCCATTCTTATGTAGCTAAAGTCTATGAGCATAGCTAAATGGAAATATTGATGACAAATACCATTTACCCTAGAAAAGTTGATATTTGATAATAATCAAAATTGGCAAAAAGCCAACAAATCATATTTTCTTAGTTACTGCCCAAATAATATGATATCTGCTTTACAAGTTCTTTCTGTGGAGAGAGAATGCAAATTTTATTAAAGCTCTGGATAATGGGAAAGATGAACTGTCCATGCATCCTGCTGTAGTTATCACAGATAGTGTTTCACCTGCTTCTGAGGCAGGTTTATCCAGTCTGACTTTAGTGCTGAAATTAAATCACATTCTCATGGATTTTCTTTAGCTTAGTTTTTCTGAAGCTCAAGAATTTTGGATCAATAAAATGTAAATATCTTGTTGATATAGATGCCAATGTCACATTTGGTATCTTTTGTTGGAAGCCCCATGTTTTCACATCAGTCTAACTTATTTTGCACCTCAACTTCAATGCTTAAATCCTCATTGATAGTATGCATTTGGGTGTATGAAATAATTTTGATATTTTGTCTATTGTAAGAAGTGTCATTTTAATTTTTTGTGTCAAAAGAGTTTGTATTAAGGCTCTCGTAGAATCACATATGATCTTGGTCCTTTTAGAACTTTTGTTTTTGTGAATTAAATTGTTAAACTGCAGAGGAACCCAACCTTCAGCAATAGAGAGAGAATATTACATGCTTACTCAGAAGTTAAATTATGCTAAAAATACCAAGGAGGAAAAATTATCCTTTTGAGAATCAAGCATAATATGCTGAGAGTTTGATGTATGCTAGGCAGTGTGTTAACCATGCTATTATTTTTTTTTTCAACAGTTCCATGCAATGTGTCCTTCTGCCTTCATTTTATGGTGTTCAAAGAAGGCAAACAACCTACCCAAGGTAACAGATCCCCTGAGGCAGGGCTAGAATTCCAACTTGGGGGTCTGTCTTACTCCAATCAGGGAGTAAATTCTTAAACAGGAGCCATACTTCATGAGGGAGGCTGTGGAAAGAACTAAGCGTTCTACAAACTTAGATGAGAAAACATTTGCATGCTTGTTTTCACTCACTTATAACTGAAATTGAATGTAGTCTTTAATTATCAATGATTACAGACTCATTGCAGAAATAGCAGCAGCATCTATAGACTTTATCACCTGTAGAAATCATGGTGCTGTTCTATCACAATTTGGTTGTTGCAGATATCTTGACATATCTTTTTTTGTGATCATATAAATTATAGTCATTTCTTCCTAACACTTTGGTATATATATTTCAAATATATTGATATGCACATTTCAATAAAATTATTTTCCCTTGACATTTTGCATATTTTATTTTTGTTTTGTATTCATTACACAAATTTACTGTATTTCTATTATATTTATAATAATTAATGCATTTAAAATCATTATCCTGAAATAAGTCTATTAGTCCAAAAATTTCATTATTCCAAACCTTATAGCCCTGTTCTAAAGCTTTACATGCCTAAATGTAGAGCATCAGTCTAACGATTTACACAAAAGCCAACTTAGCTGCAGTTGGATTCAGTTTAGTGTCAGGAAAGGAGGAGCTAATGCAGCACCTAGAACATTCAATGCATCTGTTATTTTTGAACACATGTGTATTTGCACAACACTGAAGGGATTATGTTTTCATTTCCTACCAGGTATGATATCCAGACACAGATTTGGTTAACATAGGTCAGTACCAATTGGTTGAAGGTTTTTTTCTTTCTTTTCCTCTGGTTTTGAGTTGTGATCAAGTTATTAATGAATCTTTGTTCCGGTGATTAATAATTATAAACATCCGCCTGAGCCTTCCAATGGGGCTGACCTGTATCTGGATCTGGGCTTTCTCATCTGAGTTGAGTTTACCAGGCATAAACCAAAGTGAAGATCCCAGAAACTTGCTAGTATTTTCCTAAAGTCATATTGGTTTCATTCAGTAAAGTAGTGTGGACCTGTTTTCTTTTATTTGTAGGTTTCTGAATCCATTGATGAGCATCGATTAGAGGTTTATTTAATAAGACTACTAAATGCTAGACATCTTTTAGGTACTAGAGATATGGGGAAGATGACACCTAGGAGATTTTTAAGAACATTAAGACAGTTAGTTCATTAATGTTATTATTCACTCAGAAACAGCATTCCTGCATAACCTTATAATTGTGCTCAGATTCTGAAATGTTCCCAGTCAGTGGGACCAGAGAAGCTTAGAAGCCTAGACTTCTCTTTGACACTCACTCAGGAAGATGTCCATATTTCATCCAAATGAGTCCATCTCAAAGTTAGTAAATTGACTTCTGGTCTGTATCAGGGCAAATTTAACTGAAGCAGTTTAAGGGCACATTGAAAAGTGTGGGTCTGAGATAGTGAAAAAACCTATGTATGACTTACCTTGTTCTCAGTAGACTGCCACAGTGGGAGTCAGGTGTGTGCATCTTTATGGGTATCGTTACATCAGAGTCAAACACTAAACTTGTGGAGGGCAGGACATGTGGATTGGCTGGGATGTTTAATTCCCTTCTGCCTCTAACTGCTTCTGTGACCTTGAGAATGATAAAGTCAATTAACCTTGCCAGCTCTCAGATTTCTCATTTTTAAAGTGATGGGATCAGATTATGAATTTTAAGTATCTCCTCCAACTTTAAAATTTTATGTTTTTGAGGCATCACAACTATAGTAAGGCCTTAAATTTACTTGTTATGGATGTTGAGAAGTTAAAGCTTCATTTCATAAACATCTGTTCCATGGAGTATTATCTTTGAATTTTACATCGTAATTGAGAAGTAATTGATTTGAAATGTTCCTGTTGAAGCAAGAAGATTGACTGGTTACTATCATAAATTGAAATAGCTTTGTACTATATCAGTTAGGGATCAATATTTCAGCCAAACCAAACAGAATAGTAAAAAAACATGTTTGCTACACTTTTCTCCAGTATGTTTATGTAACATAAATATTTCTGAATACATAAGTATTTTGTAATAATTATTAGATAAAAAGTAATAATAGAATTGAAGGCCTTTACAATGATCCTGTAATTTTGCATAATATATGAGCTTTATCATGTATAATAGTAAATATTAGGTTTTCTTCATTGTTGGGTAATGGCTAATTTCTTTCTCACAGTGTTATTTGAATATTGTGTTACTATGTACTACTAAGATTAGCAAATGGTTCTATGTGAAACCAAGTGAAAATGATGACTGCTGTAAATTAAATGTTGACACTACCACCTGTTGACAAGGCTCTGTTTTAGCACAGTACTTTCTGGAATGTCACTGAGAAAGTTGTCAGGCAATGCATGAGCTTTCTGTCTGTGCATTTGCCCACAGGCTTCAGTGATATAAATCTAAAACAGAATGTATGTGTGAAGTTATACTGTCACTCTTGGAATGGAGGCTTTAAATGGGACCTACTAGCCTGCGGTAATTCTATATGAGGCAGTACTATCAGGTAAGAATAACTATGCATAGTTTGATGACACACATGATTTGAGTTTGTTTTCTAACCAAATTTCATTTTTGTTCATGATTGACATGAGCAAGAGACTCTTTGAAAAGTCTTTTTTCCCCCTCAAAGTAAAATTTGAAAGACTGAAGCAACAATGATAATTATAACTCATTCCTTCTTGGGCATATTATCAAAATCAAATCTGTAATAGATGCATTTTATAAAATATCTGACTTTTCTGTTTTCATCTTTAGTAGAATTTACATTGGGTTGAAACCTTGGAAATGCGCCTACCCTTATTCTGAAGAGAAAAGTAGGGAGAAGGAAATAGGTTTATCTAGCAGTTATGTTAACTCAGTTTGTAAATATACTTTGAGAACCTGCTAACAAGTGACTTGACAGCTGCAAAGTTCTACATAAATTAAACTGTAAACAACTATGATAAATTCCAAAGCCCACATTTGATAGAATTTTTTTTGTCTGTGTATTGAAAAGAGATGAACCTCAACGAAGTGTGTGAACTTGCCCTCCATTTCTCTGATATAAGATCTAGACCAAGATATATGGAGAAATTTTTGATTTAAGAAAATTGATATGCAAATCATATCAGAGATCTGATACCAAAAATCAGCCTCACTTGTTTTTTATATAAATGTAGATTTTTTTCTAGGGAGTCAGAATCTCCTGAGAATTTTTCAGGACTTCTCATTTACACAGGCATTTTGCTTTATCATTTGCTATAATCAGTACAAAAACAGAGTCCTGATTTACCTCCTTCCTTGCATTTTCCTAGAAAAACTGGTGAGAATCCTTGTATTTGTGATGAGAGAGGGTCACCCATTTCCATTTTAGAATTTCTTTATCAACTGTGAGTTGTTTGGGATTTAATGATAATGCTTTTTAATTACAGTAAATAGATGGCATGTCTGCAGAATTAGAAGAGGCATCTACCTTTACTGACAGTGTTTTGTGAATCTGTGCTGTGTGGTGGTGGCTTGTGAGTGACAATAGATAAAGGTGGAACAGCCTGTGGCTAGCTGGTCTCAGATGTTTATCTGCTTGTAACTCACCTGTCTATTTGGTAAGCTTCCTCGTTTAACTGTTACTCTGCTTGTAACTCACCCGTCTTTTCACTCAGTGAGTACTTCCAAGGGGCTTCCCTTTCCATGCCCAGGAAACCTGCAGACTCATCACACACCTATCAATATCCCAGATCACAAGCAGTCCAATTCTGGATAGGAGCCAGGGTCATGCCTGTCATGAAGAATAGACAAGGAGGTTATCTGTCTTCCTCACACAGTACTATCTGAAGCAGACAACCAACTGAGAAGAAAAGTAAAAGCCAATTGATTGATTTATCAGACCAAAGAAATCATTCTTGTTATTTTTCTAATGATCTTTGTTGTATATTTGGTCTGTCTCTGAAAAAATATAGCACTGCCTAATACTACTGTTAAGCCTACCAGATAATTTTTGAAAAGTAGATAATAAGAGTTAGCATTTAGATTGGAAATATGTTCTATACATTCCACATTTCAAGTAGAGATGCATGTCTCAAAAGAACACAAGGGATGTTCCAATCAAATGTGTTTACTTCATTAGATATTGAGACAAAGACGCTAAACTATAAACACTGAATTCTTGGTTCTGTGCTCTTGATGTATTTCCTTAAGGGTTGATTTCTTCTTGGATAATAGTGGTAGCTTTGGGATCCGCAAGGAGGGAAGGCCTATACTTCCCGGAATGGAGAGTCCCTACCTGTACTTCCAGAGAAGAAAAGTCCTTGTCAAGGTCCCTGCGGCTGCCTAAAGGTCAACAAATGAGGATCAGACCTGCCTCAACCTTTAACCCCCATGCCCTATATCTATAAAAGGAGCCCTCCAGCCTCTGACGCGTGACTTCCCCGGCCCCTGCTCTGTTGGGACCGGGGAACCTCGCCCTGGAGTGGAATCCCTCTGCCTGGGAAGATTTGCTATACGCTGGACACCTTGCAAATAGATCAGAGTTTACTGCTGTTCTTATGAGTTGTTGCATTCTTTGATAATAAAACAGGGCTTAAAATGTAGAAATATTTGGTATATTATTTTAAACTGAATCTTTAATAGTTCAATAAAAATGTGATGCATTCAGTGGGCTCTCTCCCATAGGAAGTCACTGACTTAAAATTTTAGAAAAGGCTTTTTTTTTGTTTAAAAAAGATTTATTTATTTGACAGTCAGAATTACAGTGAGAGAGGGAGCTTGTCCATCCACTGGCTTGCTCCCCAACTGGCCACAATGGCTAAGGCTGGGCCTGGTCAGGAGCCTGAAACTCCATCTGGGTTTCCCATGTGGGTAGCAGGGTCCCAAGTACTTAGGCCATCTTTCACTGCCTTCTCAGCAGCATCAGCAGGGAGATGGATTGGAAGTGGAGCAGCTGGGACTTCAAGTGGCTAAACCTGGTGCTCCACAATGCTGGCCCTGCACAGGGCTTCATAAGCATCAAACTATTAGCATTTCAATATTCATCACCTTTATTAGGTAACAAGTAAATTTACAGTAAAACAGATTCAAATGATGCTTTTACATTCTGAGAGCACTTTAGATGAACCAGTTTACCTGGTCACTCAACAGATACGAAGCATGTGCTATTTACACACAATGGTAGTTTTGATAATCACTGACGGGCGAAGGAAGGTGTTACACTGGAAACCTTTCTTGGTTTCTCTCTCACAGGCTGACAATTTAGAGATCTGAGTAACTGTGACAACACAGGCAATGCCAAAAAGCTCTGAGAAGGATTCTCATCAAATAGGCCAACTACAGAACAGTTCTAAGGTGCCGCCAAACTTGAGAACAGATACTGAGGTCAGGTGAGAAGTGGATACACTTTCACATACCTGTGTCACCAGAACATCTCATCATCATTCAGGTGTTTGAATGGGCTTGTCTGGGGTACAGCCTGAGACCCTTACTTTCTAACAAGTTCTACAATGGTGTTGGTTCATGGACCACACTTTGAAAAGCAGAGGCTTTCAAGAATTGTTGGTGGAGGTAAGTCTGTTGTGGGTTGAATGTGCCCACTAACCAATTCATTATCAAGAAGAGGATAAATGAATGTGGCATATGAAGTACAGGTTTTGGAATTTATGTCACTACTTTCTAATCTCATTTGGAAGATGAAAAGTAAAAAAAAAATTCAAAATTTATCTGCCTATGTAGCAGCAACATTTAACTTTCATATAATCGTCCATTTTCATAAAAGTGCCCCTTTACAACTATGTGATGACTTTCACTATTTGAATTCGGATTGGTAGGAAAACATTCAAGAAATGCTACATACAATGTAGTTTGTTAATGCAGTTCTGTGCATACTTCATTCCTAACTCATCCCAAGAAGTTGTCATCATTCTTGTCCTACTTTGGATTTGTTTCATCTACAATTTCCCATTGAATCCCCTGAGATCAGGGACATTTACTTATGTAGATATGGTGGCCATGGAAGAGAAGAGAACTACACAAGCCACACAGGAATCAGACCCACAACCTTGGTCTCATTTACACAATGCTCAGCTCAACTCAGCTAACAACCCTCACATTTGTAGCTGCCCAGGCTAAGGGAGATGAATGTCTCTTCTCTCTTCCTGCAGTTACTGAAGATGTTTCAAATGGTCCCAGGGGGCTATAGAGATGCATTTGCCTAGAGTATCTGCCAGGTTAGCCTAGAGTTTGAGATTTGTTGATGTCAAATGACGGCCTTACTCTGGTAAATCAAAGAGGCTTTTTGGACAGCATTCCCTGTCAGCTAGGTAACTGGGGATTGAAATCTTGCAAGAGTTATAGTACAGTCCTGACATATCTTTGTAAAGCATATACAGCTGTGTGTCCTGTTGTCCATATACTTACAACCCAGGTGAAGTAATGAAAAAAATGTGAATGTGGCCAGGACATACATTTCTTATTACCAAATTATCTGTAAAGTAGGGTCTATAAAGATGTTTGGCTAATACAATTGCATACATTTCCTTCTCACAGCTAACCTATCATGGCTTCCTTAAAGCCTCATTCTCTGAAGTTGCTGCAACAGCCAGAATATCTGTTTGACTTTGGATAGAAGGGCATTGGATCACCATCATTGATTTTATTTCTAATGATTCCCTACGTGAGTATTCTGCATGGGCATTACCTGCTGGATTATATACTTTGTACAAAAAATTTTACTGAAAATTATTGTTTTCTTAATCATTTTTCTGTCAGGCCAAACGAACAACTAGGTTTTATCAGATAGAACTGGATATTTACTAATGATTTTTGGTAGACCCGGTACTTTTTTAAAAAGCGTAAAATTGGACAATCAAGCTGTCATTATATACATGTGGTATTATTTTATGCACAATAGACTACTAAACTTCAGTACAAGTTTTCATTAAAATGGAAGCCTTTTAAATAATCATAGGGAATAAAATTAAATGGAATAAGTCTGAAGGAATGCAAGTCAACCAAAACGGCTTTAGTGCTGTTTTTCTCATTTTCCTCTGCCCTGTCACCTGAAGAGGATAAAATTCTTAGGAGTGTATTGGCAGAGCCTGAGTAGACTGGAGCCTGCCTGCCCCTCCTTGTCAACCTAACTGCATGGCAACTGATCAGTCCAGCACCTTTCCCTGCTCCCAGCCTCTGCTCCAGGCCTCCCCTTCTGAGATGTTTATCCCTTTCCTTTTTATTTTTAAAAAAATCACTCATTAATATTTATTTATCTATTTTGAAAAATCAGGGATACAGAGAAAGAGAGGGAGAGAAAGAGATATCTTCACTCCTCTGATTCACTCCTCACATGGCTGTAACAGCCAGGGATGAGCCATGCCAACCAAGGCCAGGAGCCAGGAACTTCTGGGTCTCCCAGTTATGTTGCAGGGAACCAACAACTTGGGCCATCTCATGCTGCTTTTCCAGGGCTGTTTTCAGGGATCTGGATAGGAAATGGAGCAGCCAGAACACAAGCTGGTGCCCATATGGGTTACGAGTGCTGCAGGTGGCAGCTCTACCTGCTACATGACAATGCTGGCCCCTAGCCCTTTCATTTTTCTAAACAATGGGTTCTCAACCATGGGACAAAAGAGATTTTGCAGTAGATGATTCTCTGAAGTGGCTGGCTGTCCTGTGCATTTTTAACTGCATCCCTGGCTTTTCTAATGGGGAGACACCAGTAACATTCCTCCCCTTATAATAACCCCAAATGCCTCTAGACATTGCCAAATGTCTCAAGGGGCCAAGTTACCCCCAACATGAACCCTTCCTTTCAGTTCTTTTTATTCCCCAAGTTCAAGTATCATCTACTCTAGGATGCCTTTCTTGATCATACAGACTAGTCCATGATGATTTCCCCACTGAATTAATATGGGAAATGCATCCAACAAGAGATACTCATGGTGAAAAATGAAATAACAGAACTCCAGAGAACAAGAGATAAGAGAGTTATGGTCCGTATTTATTTCTTTCCTAGCTCCTCTCTTCTTTTTAGAGGTAATCACTACTTTTAGCAACAAGTGCTTTTCAAAGCCATTTCAGGCCATCAGAAGGCTATAAAGTCCTATATTATGGTTTGAATTTACTTCCCTTTCACTGCTATTGAATTTGAGTAAGTTTCAATACATTTTCTTGCCATTTAAATTTTCTACTTTTGTATTGTCTGTTAGTATCTTTAGTGCAATTTACCTTATTATTTTCATATTAATTTTCATTGAAATCCATATTCACTTTATGGTTATAAATCCTTTGCTTGAATAATGTTGCCAAATTTTGCAAAATATTGCAGATTCTTCTCTCAGCCCATATGTGTTTGTTGTATACAAGTACATAGTACAAAATATCAAGCTTTTCTTTTATGGACTCTAGATAGATATCATATTTTCTTTAGAAAATCTTTTGCTATGCAGACATAAGCATCCTATTTTTCCTGATGCTTTTATAGATTTCTCCCCAGTTAGTGAACTTACAGTGAAAAATAAGGTTTAACTTTTTCTTCCCTCTGTTTCCAGCGATAGCTCTATTAGTTTAGGCTAGTATAAGCTGCAATAGCAACCAACAACCCTGAATATCAGTGACTTACAACTTCTTAGGTTGGCTAAAGCTGTGCTCCATGTCCTTTTTGTGCTAGACTCAAGTGTTAGCCTTTACTTGGGACAAGCAGAAGGAAAAGAGAAATGGTAGGTTTACACCTTGGCTGTTAGTTAGCTTTTCAACACTATAACTTAAATACCTGAGAGAAGTTGACTTAGAAAGGAAAGATTTATTTTTGTTCATGGGTTTGGAGGTTCCCAGTCCTAGATCAAGTGACACCATTAGTTTGGTGTCTGATGAGGTAAGTGGTTACTGGAATCACTTGGAAGAATCACATGGTGAGCTGGGAAGGACATAGATGGAGCATACCCATCCTCCATGTCCTGTCTCATTATAAAGCCACCATGATCCAATCTTTTTCAAGGCCCTATCTTCAGACATCATAATTAGATTAAATTCTGTCCTTAACCTATTAACCAAAGAAGCTAGAGATCAGTCTCTTTTGTTAATCAAGATTTGCTTATTTGAAAGGCAATGTTAGAGAGAAGGAGAAACAGAGACAAGAGAGAGAAAATTTCCATCTGCTGGTTTGCTGCAATGGCAAGAGTGGGGCAGGTCTGAAGCCAGGAGCCAGGAGCTTCTTCCCACAAGGGTGCAAGGGCCCAAGCATTTTGGCCATGCTCCACTGCTTTCCCTAGCCCAATAGCAGGGAGCTGGACCAGACATGGAGCAGCCAGGACTCAAACCAGCACCTATATGGGATGCCTGTGTCACAGTTAACGTCTTAACCCACCAGACCACAACTCTGGCCCCAGGGATCCGTCTCTTAACTCATGGGCCTTGGGGAGATACCCAAATTATTATCAAAACCATAGCAAATATTAATCCTTTTGCTCAAATGTGGCAAATTACTTCCAATTATATCTTATTGCAGAAAAATAATCCATGAATGTAACATGTTATTATTTTTAAGGGATAGAACCTGGAGTAAGTGAGTTCAGAAGGGATAGTGAACATCTCAACAATAACGAAATCTGACAAAATAATCAATTTCCTTGACAGTATTAATGGAATATTTCCTTAAATTTCCACTGATTACTGTAGCACTTACCTGGAATTAGCTTATGTTATGTTGTATTAATATTATTCATTCATTTTAAAGTATATTCTCTTCACAACTAGTGTAGTCCTTGAGAAAAAGGACTATCTCCTGTTGGGATTATAACAGTTATTCACTGATGTTCAGGAATTTGGAGAGTAATGGTTAAGCCAATGCTGAAGGTGCATGTAGAGGTGTACAGTTAGCTCTACTGCTATGCAGCCCAGCCACCGTGTTGTAGATGGACGGATTTTTCTGTTTTAACTTTTATCTGAATCCTCTGAATCTCATATTCAGCAAAATTCAGTCTCAAATATAACAAAACTTATGGGAAAAATAGAATTGGGGTATGCTACCCAAAACATATATGCAATAACTCGAATATACTAAGAGAAGAATATTTTACTAGGTGTATTAATTATAAAGAAATAGCAAAAGTTTTTTGAAGAGATTTATTTATTTATGTGAAAGAGTTACAGTGAGAGAGGAAGAGACAGACAGAGATCTTCCATCTGCCGGTTCACTCTTCAGATGGCTACAATGGCCAGGGTTGGGCCAGATCAAAGCCAGGAGCTTTATCCTTGTGGGTGGCAGGGACCCAAGTAGTTGGGCCATCTTCTGCTACTTTTCCCAGGCTATGAGCAGAGAGCTGGATTGGAAGTAAAACATTCAGGATGTGCAATGGTGTCCATACAGGATGCTGGTGTTGTAGGTGGCAGATTTACCTGCAATGCCACAATGCCGGCCCTGAGAAATATCAAAGTTTTAATACATACAAAAACACTAAAGTGCAAACACAAGCCTTGATTCTAAAGTGCAGAATAACGGAAGGGAGTATGAGTATGTATTTAGCCTGCTGACTTTGTGACAGACACCAAAGGCAAAATAAATGGGGCAGGTGGTAAAGCAAGCCACCTTGGACTTGGTTGTAATCTATGATTGCTTCTTTCATCTGGATGTGTGCTTTGTGATTGGCTGCTTCTATTTGGTGTTCATAAACATGAGAAAGTTGGGAAAACTGCTTGCAAGGCAATGTAAAGTCTTTGTTATCTTGACATCATTCCCCTTTTT